TACAGGGTGGCCAACTAAGAATGCGAGATACTGTATCTGAGAATCTATCCATCGTAGAGGCTTGCGGTAAAAAAATATATTACTAAAACGGCCACGAGCAAAACCTGGAAAATATTTTTAAGTTTCTGAAATGACCGCTAGGGGGCGTAACTGCAATCTGGAATCTAAAAAAGTGATTTTTCTGTGAATTCCGCTATATTAACCTAACAAAAAAATGTCCGGTCTTTGAAGACGACGATAATCTGAAACTTTTTTGTTTGACAATTTTTCCTGTATCTCTAAAAATGAAGTGGTGGGGGTATTCAAAGGTTTCCGTAAAGAACACCCTGTATCTTCGAAACGGCTGAGCCGATTTAAACAAACTCGGGTTAGTTCAAAAGAGCTATTCTTCAGTATCTCTAAAAATGAAGTGGTGGGGGGTATTCAAAGGTTTCCGTAAAGAACACCCTGTATCTTCGAAACGGCTGGACCGATTTAAACAAACTCGGGTTAGTTCAAAAGAGCTATTCTTCAGCTACAAATATTATACTATTTGAAGTTTTGTTAGTTTCACATATCACCGCTTGAGCGCTTTGTTCGACATTCCGACAGAAATGGTTAATTTTCTTAAAAAAATTAAATGCATTGGTTCGAATTTTTTTTCATGAAAAAGTAGCTAAATGATGCCTAAATAAACTCGCGAAAACAGCATCTCGATATCTTGAGATATATATATTTTTTATATCGTGATGGCCAGCATTTCGAGCATTTACGGCGGCATTAAAAGCTTCCTTTTTTAAATCGATCCACCTTAGGGCCACAAATTATATAATAAAAATAATTCCGGAAAATTAGCTTAAAAAAATAAAATTTTGAGGGTATAAAATTTTCTTTGGCCTAAATTTTAGGTTAGGAACAAGATATCGAGATGCGGTTTTCGCGAGCTTGTTTAGGCATCATTTAGCTACTTTTTCATGAAAAAAAAATCAAACCAACGCATTTAATTTTTTTGAGAAAATTAACCATTTCTGTCGGAATGTCGAGAATAGCCCTCAAGCGGCGATATATGAAACTAACAAAACTTCAAATATTATAATATTTGTAGTAGCAGCCGAAGAATAACTCTTTTCAATTAACCCGAGTTTGTTAAAATCGGCTCAGTCGTTTCGAAGATACAGGGTGTTCTTTACGGAAACCTTTGAATACCCCCCACCACTTCACTTTTAGAGATACAGGAAAAATTGTCAAACAAAAAAGGTTCAGATGATCGTCAACTTCAAAGACCGGACATTTTTTTGTTAGGTTAATATAGCAGAATTCACAGAAAAATCACTTTTTTAGATTCCAGATTGCAGTTACGCCCCCTAGCGGCCATTGCAAAAACTTAAAAATATTTTCCAGGTTTTTCTCGTGGCAGTACCAAATTTTTTTACTGCAAGCCTCTACAATGGACAGGTTCGCAGATACAGTAACTCGCATTCTTATTTGGCCACCCTGTACAATGCCCTAATCATGCAAAAGTACCTATGAGACAATGAAAAATATGTTGGATAGGTATTCTTGCATGATTAGAATGTTCTGCGCGGGTGCACCATCCTGTTGAAACAAACAGTAAACAAAAAATGCAACTTGATATCAATACAGTAAGTATGTACTTTTTTTAGGGGTCATCTAAAGAAATAAAGTTGATGACAATTTCGCGGAAACGAAACGGTGTGTCTTAATGTTTTTAAGTAATTCAGCAATCAGCATCTTAGGCAATACTGTGAAACATACAAAATCGATGGGATTAAAATACAAAAAAATAAGATATGATAATTAATATTGAGCCGCACCGTGCATACATTTCTTAATATATTATAGTGCATAGAAATCCGGTCCAAGTATACGAAAATCATTGAGGAACAATTGCGCCATTACAGTTTTTCAAAAATTAAATTGGAGGAGGGGGTGATCAATTAATGTCCCTCTCATCTGGGTTCGAAAAAGTAATATTTTTGAATGCCCTAAAGGTCCGCAAACACAATAAACATTTTAAATGGGAGGGGAAATGGGAAATAGTAAATAATTGCAAATTCAAACACTCTTAGTTACGCACGAGTCCTTAAAGTTGGTAAAATTTAAACTAGTGAAATAATCGTCGTGAATAAACCTGACAATGTCCTCGATTTTGCACAGTGTCACGTCCTGCTCGACGTTATGCAACTCCTTGCAGAAGTGCACCTGCCGCGTGACGTCCTTGCCGTTACTTAAAATCCTAAAGTACATGTCTCTAGCACCATTTAGTAATTGCCGATTATTATTGTACACCTCGATTATTATCCGCCCGGCGTAACGTAAAAGGTGAGGATCGCTCTTCAGGCCCAACGCCGTCGACAGCTGCTCTAAGGTGTGATCGTGCCCGGAGTACAATATTAGATATGGTCCACTGTTCGACACCTAAAGTAAAATCGTTTATATTAATATATGTATTTATGGAGTTCGTAAATGGTAAATTGTAATTCGAATTTTGATTGATACTAAACTTTTTATGTAATTAAATAAGTTCCTTCAAGGTAATCCTTGTCCAAAGAGGACTGGACTTTCGAATTTGGAATTTAAAAAAGTATAATTAACCATAATTACTTGAATGTGTTACAGATAACAACCGCCGATTAAGTCGAGATTACATCGGTTAGGTGCGCTCTTAAAAAATTTGAAGTTTGACACTGGTCCGATATTTTTCCGACGTCAGTTGCCTCAAATACCCGCCCAAAAATTGTAACGAAGCACTCAGTTTTCGTACCGGACTTTATGAACACACTGTACATGGATGACCGCTACCAGTTTTATTGAACACCCGGTATCTAGAGGCGCTTCATTACAAAGAGTATTGTTTCGAAACTATTTATTGCTTATAGGAGTTGGAAATAGAAGGTGAAAATACCTGCTTTAAGTTCTAATGCTATAAACAGGGGCGGACTGGCCCGGGGGGCAGGGCCGCGCCAATGTTTAGTAGCGCCTGTGTGCACGATTTATGATGCGCCCCTAACTTTTTTGTTGAAGGTATTATTAAATTATGCATTACCTACCTATATTACTACATGCAATACGCGCCAAAGTGAAAGATTAACGTTTGCTAATTTATATACAGTAAACACATTTCATATAACTATTTATTGAAAATTTTTGGTTAATGAAAAAATACAGTGTAGGTACGTAATAAATAATCACAGACGGTTGCGGCAGTTTGGTCACAAAATAAAGGTGCCCATCATAAATAACTCTATCATAAATAAATGTATATAACCGATATATAGCGACTTGCCAGTGCGGGTGCAAAAATGAGTCATTAGAAAATCATAATAAACCTTTTGGGAGGGGATGTTTTCATTCTCCTACCCTGCCCCTGCAACCGCATCATAACGTTTCATCTCACTTTATACTGAAGCAGATATAGGAATTAGGAAGACAAGGATAGTTCAATCTAGACCCACAAACACCCGCGGGGCGCCGCACCGCCAAGCTTTGTCGGTCTTTACGTTTAGAGTTTTGTCACGTACGAATAATAAAAGAACGTCGTTTCCAAAAATTTTCCCGTTTTAAACGTTTTGATTATAAAGATGTCGAACTGAGGTACTAATTCTTATAACTAGGTATTGAATTCGGTACTGTTGGCGCCCTGGCGTCTTGGCGCCTGTGTGCGTCGCACACATCGCACACATAGGTGGCGCGGCCCTGCCGGGGGGGCGGGTGGCGATTGCCACCTGGCCTGAACGTCATAATGGCCCGTTGGAAATTTATAAGTATGTGCTGTATTTAGTTTCTTGCACTATTAATAAATTATTAACACGTTTCTCTAATTGGGGTTGATGTTAGGTTGTTAAAAAATTAAAAATTCTGTTTTAATTGAAGTGTTTTACAATGAATTTATCATTTTTTGTCGTAGCATGAAAGTGCTGAAATACAATGATAGGCGACGCGCCTCGTTTGGATTGTATATTTTGTTACTTTTAATTATCAGCTGCAATTTAAAAAAAAAACTGTATTGTAATTGATTTCCGAAAAGCGAGTACCTTAAAATGAAGCAAAAAATGTTTTTTTCTATTTCGGTGTCACAATGATGATTTTGTACAACTCCGAAAACAGTTGTACAAAGACAGTGATTATAGTCGTTTTTTTTGGTAACTCATCTCTTAAGTTGGCAGTTACTAGTTAGTACAAGTAGGTACTTCGTTGGGTACTTCCACGTTTGAACTTCAAAATGTCAGTCTTACTACGCTGCCAACCTAAAACCTAACGGCATAAAAAGTGTTACCAACATAAAACATGTTAGTTCTAATGTTCCCTATAGTTTCTGATAATGATTTTTTTAATTAAATTAAAGCACCGAAATAGAAAAAATAGTATGAAAAACGCGTGTTACAATGCTTTATTGTAATACTCCTATCTTGCGGACACTCGTGGCTACGCTTCGCGTCGCCACTCGTGCCACAAGATAGTCGTATTACAATAGGTCGCATTGTAACACTTGTCTTTCAATATACTATTGTGGTGCACCGCAGAGCTACCCCCCCGCCACCTTCATTACTACACTTCAATGGCCCGTAACCAATGCAATTCCACCTGGCCCGCCCCTGACTAGAAACCAATTTCGAAAGAATATTCAACGAGCTGTAACTTTTGAACTAGTAGCCCAATCTTGGAACTGTTTGAAATTATGGATTGTACAGGCCACATTCTATAAGAAACATTTTTTTCCGGGTCGATCTCAGACAATTTTTTTGCGGGCCTCAAAAAAAGGCAGCGTATAACCTTCCTTTTTTACCAAAAATCGACTGCACCAAAATTTCTCGGGAAAACACTTTTTCTTATTAATTTTGGTGCGTAGAATCTAAAACAATTCGTACTTTTTCGATCAGACTTCTCAATCAAAAGTTATAGACTAGAAACCAATTTCGAAAGAAAATTCAAAGGGCTGTAACTTTTGAACTAGTAGCCCAATCTTGGAACTGTTTGAAATTATGGATTCTACAGGCCACATTCTATAAGAAAATTTTTTTCCGGGTCGATCTGAGACAATTTTTTTTCGGGCCTCAAAAAAAGGCAGTGTATAACCTTCCTTTTTTACCAAAAATCGACTGCACCAAAATTTCTCGGGAAAACACTTTTTCGTATTAATTTTGGTGCGTAGAATCCAAAACAATTCGTACTTTTTCGATCGGACGTCTCAATCAAAAGTTATGGACTAGAATTCTATAAAAAAAACTAGTTGCCATATATAATTGATGTTTTATAATTCCTACCGAATTTGGAAATTTTAATCTCACAAATTAAGTAAGTGTAATTAACAGTGGCTAATTAAATGAGTTGCAGTTAATCGCATCCGAGCCAATTGTGAGTGGTTTCATTAGAAGCTTGCTTAATTGTGCTAGTGCTATTGTGTGTGTGTTACATACTCACCATGTGCAACATTTGGGATACTATGTGCTTTATAAGTCCGTAAGACTTCAACAGACAGTACCGCCGCCAGTTAATGTCGTTCCACTTCTGATGGTTAACCCAATCAGTGTACGAAAATATCCCTGCTACATTTTGACGCCTACAAATTGTTTGTAAATTAATACCGGATTGTTTACTCAATCAATTAGCGAGAGGCGAACGATAATGAGAACGTACTTGACACAGTTATGAAGGTTACAAGGTAAACCGCTCGAATGACAGATGTATGTTAGTAAAGCGTCCCTAACCGAATGAGGATCTGCACCTAATATTCCCTGTTCGGCTCCCACCGAGAAGGTAACGCGTCCTGTCGTCTCCGAAAGCAATGCAACAGCCGGATGCGAAAGCAGCTGCCGGGTGATGTGCCTCCTCAGCGACCTAAACAAACGGTCTTTAGCAAGTGAGATAATCAGCATAGCGTTAGGCACCTATAAAACGTATCGGCAACCGGGCATCCGCAATCCCTGAAACAGAAGCTCATCGACTGGCTCTCCAAGATTGTAACGCGACTCAAAGTGTCGCCGGTAACGAAGCCGTACAAAAACGCAAGCGCCGACTGAAATGTCCTTCTATATCTCGTGCTGTACACGACGATCTCCGACTGGGTCAGGTTGAGTAACTTTTGCCAAATCCCGACGTAGCTCTCTCTGAGGACTTGGCCCAGTTTTAGGAGTTGCGCGACGCCCTGCATCGTTAACTGTCCTATTTGGCATTGCGTTGCGTGCGTCGGCAAAACGGGAAAGCCGTGGAACGCGCCGGGTCCGATCCACGACACTTTACCGAGCACAGTCAGATTGTGCAGGTAGTCCTGTAACACGACAGAAGTGTCAACAGATTGGACCAATGAAAAGATAATACTACAACAGATACAAAAACATAAAAGACATTATTATTATTATTACTGTTCTGAGATTTTCAATACAATCATTTCGAAAAAATAATCATCAACTTTATTTTTTATATGGCCCTAAAAAAAGTACATACTGTATTGAGTAGCATTTTTTACTACGAATGCAACAACGTATGGCACACAAAAAAAAACATGGAAACTGTTGGTTTCAACAGAATGGTGCACCCACGCATAACGCTCTAATCGTGCAAGAATACTTATCAGACAAATTTTGCACTTTCCAGGAACCATTAGGTGTCACTTCTAGTATCACAAAAAAACTGTTTGTAAACCCGTGCAAAAAAAAATTGTAGGCCAACCGAGAAGGTACTCATGCAGAAAATGTGCTAGAAGGCTCAGGAAGTCAGCAAATTCCAGAGCTTTAAGACTCTCTCTCTTAAGTGCTTTCCAAAGATATTGTGTAGCCAGTTCTAAAGAATACCTGATTTTCTGGCAAAAACTTAGAAGGATTTAAAAAGGGCTTAGCACTTTGTATGGTCTAAAATGCTTTATAAATTGCCTATACAGTTCTGAAAATTGTTTTAAAAGATGTTACAGAAGTACTCATTGCTTTTCATTAGTTTATTTTTACTTCAGTTGAAGTACAAATTGTATAGGGTGGCACCTAGGCCCACCCTTAGCTACCTGCCTGTCACTAGATCATGAGAGATCACTAAGTAGAAGTACAGTGCCAAGTCGCCAGTCTAACAACACCTAAATTACAAGACAGCATGCAGGGCAGATTCAAGTCATAATGAATGACACTCCAAATGAAAATCAGTAGTTACTCGCCTCAATGCATCACACCACCACAACTCGCTTACAAATATAAAGATTTCTGTTTTGAGTGTGGAACATTGGAACTAAATATGCAATTAGCAACTTTTAAACCGTCTATCTAGTATAGTGTCATCTTTGCTCGACATTACAAACCTGGTATAGCTTCAAATGCGCGTCCGTATCGGAATATCCGCAATTAACGTAGGAAATATTCGTGACATGTTGAAGTGGGCCACGATCTCCGTGCCGAATTAAAACCAATAAACCCCTTAAGGTCCACTGTTTCGAGTCGAAACCTTAAAAAAACTTGCAAAATGAAGAAATCGGAGGCAGAGGGCCGGTGATACCTTCGTCGCCGCTCTTAATGTCGTCGGGCAAATTGCAAACTTTGAATATACGCTTCGTTTTGACGTCGAGTACGAGATTATGATATTGTTCCGTCGCAATAGAAGCGGTGGGATACCTTGGCTTCGGTTCAAGGTATTTGTACACGCCGCCAACTAATAATAAGATCCAGATGCTCAAAAGGATATAGCAGTGTAGGGGTCTCCGAAAAACATCAACTGACATTATCGAGGTTAAATTAAAGTGGTAGACCAGCCGGAATTAAGGGTGTCTGACCACCGCATTTTGGCGTTTTCGTCTTAGAAATTAACCCATTTTTTGGAGAATAATAGAAATAAATCATAATGTTTACATGTATCATTTTAGAAATACGAATCGAAACCGGAAATGATCGAGCTCAGTCGATCGCACACGTCGAAGATCAGTGGCGTATCATTTCATTTCCGACGTTATCAGTATGACAAGTTGCCTATGCTTCCGTTAAATCAAAACTTCAGGTCAATAGTACAGTCCAGCATCTTGCCTTCGAAAATTAATTTTTGAAACACAAACATTCCAATGTCTTCAGAAGTTCATCCTCCTCGAGTGAATTTTTTGAAGAATATTTGAAGGATCTCCTATGAATCAATAAATATTTTATATTTTGTAAAAATCCCCTTTAAAAGTGCCCGCAAAAAATCTCTAAAACATCTTTGAATAGAATCTGAAGTATACATTTAATCTTTAAAAGCATTTACGAGCCTTCATGGCCCACCAAATATTCTCTCTGGTCTCCACAGCCGTTTGGATGAACCAAAGTGATGAACTCTAATAGCTAAGACCTTAAAAAAGTATTTTAACAGTCTTTAAAAGCCTTGAAAGCAGTCGTCCAAAGTCTTCGATAGATTTTTTTAAATCTTTAAGAGTAGGTGACTTTCAAGAGGCTTCAAGGTTGTTGTAGACTGTAGAGGATTTGAAAGCCTTCTTTGGCTTTTAAAACCTTACTCAGAATCATTGAAAGTCCTCTATAGCCTTCTAAAAACTTTAATATGGTCGCCCTTAAGAGTCTAAGAATTTTTAACAACCTTCAAAAATATTTATGCAGCGTTAGGAACTGAACATTTAACAGTATTGTAGCGAATATTACAGAAACATCGATAGACATCGAGGTGCCATGAAAGATTAGTCAGTTTTAACTCTACCAGTAACCGGAGTTGAAAGTATATGCGCCCAGGATCCAAAGGTCTCAGAGCCAGTAGTCCTATCCACCTGGCGATAAAAATTCGTATGGCTTTCACTATCCATTATGTTTTTACCACCCGAACGTTAATAAAGGAGGTATTGCATTGGCGTAAAAAATTACTCCACACTTTTTTGACAAAAATGCACGTTTTGGCGCACCACGAATCCGAATCAAACAAAACCTCGATGATGTCTGTCTGTACTCTCATTTCCGGCTAAAAGGCTCAACCGATTTAAACCAAATTTAGTAGCTACACATATTCTTAGACATTAAAGGATGCGCTGAACAGTGTTGCCAACTTTCCGATAATCTCCCCAGCCAGACTGAGGTTTCAAAATCGCTAGAAATCGCTAAAAGGTTTGATATGGCCAAGAAATTCGACACATAATACTAGAAAACTGCTAGAAAAACCGCTAACCGCTAAAGGCTAAACTATCCCGCAAATTGCTCTTCTGAAACGCTAGATTTAGCGGCAAAATCGCTAAATTGGCAACACTGGCGCTGACGAGCTTTTATAGAAAATCGCGCATGCGCAAGTATCAAACTCCCACTTCCGGCTAAACGGCTGAACCGATTGGAACCAGATTTAGTACACGTATTCTTAGCCATAAAAGGGCAGAATCGCGCATGCGCAAATGTGCGGATGGTATTTGTCCACACCAAATTTTTATGTTTCAACAACAAAACCCACGTTACAAGTCGGAACTTGGGCACCGTTAGCGTTACCGACAGACTAACGCACTGGCATTCACCCATCGGCACGTTTCGCCAGAACACCTTGGGATTTCGCGGAGAGATAGGACTGTACTACTATAGTGATCGCTGGGGTAAGTGATTATTGAAGGTATTATTTGAAGTGAGAAGAAATAACGTTGATGAGGGTCCCGGAACAGGGTCTCCTTTAGTCGCCTTTTACGACAGGCAGAGATGACCGTGGATCAATTCTATCCCCGAATCCACAGGGGACGTGGAAATTTTGGATTTCATTAGGTAATCAAGGTATCGAAAAAATGCGTTTTATGGAATATAATGGGCGTTTACAGTATAGTTGAATTCCGTAGTTCTAATTTAATAAGCGTAGTGTACCTGAAAACATAAAACATTTTTTTGGACAGTAAAAGTTTATTTAAAAATAAAGGCTGATTAGCAAAAAAATAATGAACATGTGCGGTTTTAAGGGTTTATTCAAAACGATATGATTGTGGCGGGCTCTGTGACGTAATAAACCCGACCAATCAGCTCCTAGAACCATTCAGATCACATAACGAATTGGAGAATGTCATTTGTAACTTGCGTCACCTGTCACAGGCACTTGTCACTAGTCGTTCACTTTCGCGTTAGATGCAGTTAAACATGTCTCTTAAAACGTCAAATCCGACAAACGTCAGATCCTCGTACAAGGTTGCCGGCTCACTTTTACGTGATTGGTTGTAGGTTTGTGACGTATTTAGACTGAAGCGTTTCAAATTCGGACTAAAAACACAGTTTTTCAATAATTTATTTTGGATTTATTTTACTCGCAAATAAAAATTGAGGACACACGGGTCTTTTTATTTTTAATGTACTTTGTAGATCAGAAATAAAAAATGAAGGCGGCATGCCCCCATTACAATACGTACCAAATGGTAGTCGAAGTGCACGCGGCGAATTCTGGCGTCGAAGTGAGCGGGTCTTCTGCCTGGTGGAGCGTGGCGCGAGGTCGAGTTAAGTGAAACTGGTTCTGTAGGCCGAGAGCTCGTTGTTTCTTGAAGCGCCGCCGTCGAAGCAGGAATTGCTTTGTAAAGTTCGGAGCTCTGCTTTTAAATGTTTGGGTCTTGTTGCCTCTAAAATTGAAAGCAAGTAAAAATTATAGTCTCGCCTCTAAAATTCATAGAAAGTAGAAAACGTTATGGAAAGCGAGAGAAAAAGCCCTTTAAACCGAACAGTTTCTGAGGTGCTGCCCAGAGGTTTCTCCCAGAGTTTGGATAGGTACTCTCTGCGGATTATCTAAGTGTCCCAAAAAAACAGGAAAAAACCTGAGCCAAATTTCAAATGGCGCCCAACATTCTACAACAGAGATTACTCATCCCTGTGTTGAATTGCTTTGACGTGTTCGGTCTACTATGCGATCAAAAATGAGTTGCTGTCGAGTGACCTTTGGAATTTTTGTTTACATGGGAAATCGTATTTAATTTGAACTTCCAAAGGCGACTCGACAGCAACTCATTTTTGATCGCCCGTTACCTATATACTATGCGATCAAAAATGAGTTGCTTTCGAGTTACCTTTGGAATTTTTGTTTAAATGAGAAATCGTATTTAACTTGAACTTCCAAAGGCGACTCGACAGCAACTCATTTTTGATCGCCAGTTAGTAATATAGTGCACATTTTTAAGAGGTACCTATCCTTTCGCTACTTAATGATTGGGGGAGGAAATTTGTTCAAATCAAAATCATTAAAAAAACCCTTGATTTATCACATTAGCAAATGAAAATCGGGAGAAGGGACCGATTAAATTCAGGAAACTTTAGCGCAATGCTATTTTTGTTATTGTTTAGTTTTCATTCGGGGCAATGCACGCCCTGGCCCACCCATGCCAGCTCCACTGATGTAAAAGTACAAGTGCAACGTAATTAGAAATCTCATACGTCGATGTCTTCCAATTAAAGGCAGATTCGATATGAGACTGTAAATAAAATGAAATTTTTCGGTGTCGGAAAATTAAACAAAAAGTGAAGGCCACCCGAAACACCTTGAGAAGCAGGTGTAAATGAGACAATAATAGTCGTAAAGCAAATACGTTGCGTAAGAGTAATTAGATTAAAAATAGAATTTTTCACAAATTTGATAAATTAGGCCAAAAACACCGGGTAAACAATACCACGTGATCGAGGCATGTTTGCGACAGTGGCGGGGGTGAGGGATAATAAACGAATATCGACCTTAGGCACAAATCTAAAAGAATGAGGTTGTAGATTGTTGAAATACGGGTGGTTCGTCACGTCCGTTCATCGCGACGTCAAAAAAATTTAAAAGGATGCCTTTGAGAAAATTCTAAGTGAAAAAAATTCGATTGTCCATCATCATGTGAAAAGTTAAGTTGAACTTTGTGAATGTCGCTGGAAAAATACGATTAAAGTGTAAACAAAGCAAAGTAACCCCAAGTGGTCTCTGTGATGTCTCAAACTGAAGCCGTCATCCACCTAGTCGCTGGAGGGTAAGCTCCTGCACCCCCAAGATCATTTTTTAATCGCTTATGTAATACGTCAAAGTTCCTTGGATGGCGCATTATTTATCTGCCAATCATTTCATTTTCACGTTCCCATGGATACAAATCTACTTTTCTATTTTGAAAAGCAACAAACACCCCTCCCCCACCTGGCGCGGATTTTATAGGCCGACCTCTCACACCAGCAACACTCGAAAAACATTCAGCTTTTACTAGTTTAGAGATTAACTGTAAGTGTTCTTTATTTGTAGTGTCGCTGGTACAGTAGGTGCTATAGTAACATGCCCATTAGAGGTAGTAAAGACGAGGTTACAATCGTCACAGAGCGGGTTCACAACCCAAATACCTTTGATAGCTCAGGAACGAATTAGTAGTACTTGCAATACGTTCGGTACACAAAGGCGTAGGTTATGGACAACCTCCGGCCGCTTGACGCCTCAAGTTGTGGCTCTTTCAGGTTACGGACCGTCGCCCTCGTCGCAAAGCATGAGCCTGGTGAAATGCCTCAAACATATTATAAAACACGAGGGCCCGCTCGCCCTTTTCAAAGGTAAATCGATCGTCGACAATCGCACGAGACACGTAACTTCGTTGTGCCGCAGGTCTGGGCCCGAATTTAGTCGGCGTCGCCCCGTCGCGGGCCGTATACTTTTTGACCTACAGCCAGGCCAAGATGTTCTGGAACGGCTGTTTGCCCAAGGAAACTCCCATTGTGCATATACTGTCGGCGTCGTGTGCCGGCTTTATGGCGTGTACGCTCACTAATCCGATATGGTTCGTCAAAACCAGACTTCAGTTGGATCTCAATAAGGATAATCGTATAACCGTCAAGCAGTGCGTCGCACAAATCTATCGGAAATCCGTACGTATATTTCGTTCACAATGTTTTTTCGTAAGGCCAGACAGTGGAATATTTTATTCGTGTTGGCACTACTGAGTTCGGTTAAAGAAATATGACAACAGTGTCACAGTGCCTAGAGTATGTTATTTAGAAAAAAGTGACGATTGCTCGGAGATACATGTTTGCCTATGTACGTGGAAATATGGGAAATTTATGCTTTATCAATTCTTTATTTGCAGTAGAATCCGTGGTACCCTACTATCACCAATTCTTCCCTGTAATGGTCAGTATAGAACTACGAGTAATATGAGGATTTAATCAATGGAGAATTTAACTTTATACTATGGAAGGGGTAAAAGTATTGGTAGGTACTGGATTCAAATGTCAAGGTGTCAAAATAAAAAAAATGTGTTTTTGGAACTGTCAAAAAAATGTAACATGGCAAATGATTAGGTATAGGCTCTGTACCAAGAGGCGTTACTCATTTTCAGAAATATATGCATACCAGATGACAACAAAATTACTATCCAGGCTCACAATTTAAAATGATTTCGGCTAAAAAAATAATAGGATTGAAAAATGTGCATATTTTAAGCATATTTTGGCATGGCCATTGCATATTCAAATTCTGCAGATATTAATTTAATTACTATAGCAACCACCATGCCATGGCTGACTATGATCATTGTAAAAATAAAGTCCATAATTGAAGTGGGAGTGACAATGACAATACACGTACTGCCAAAATATTTGTACGACTTCCAAAGAATTTTAGGGGCGACATGTGCATTTCACGTACTTCTAATGGACTACAGGGTAAAAAAGTTACCAGAGCTAACCTCATTTTTTTATGTATATTAAAAAGATTGCATATTAAATACTCTTCTCAAAAACAAAACACTAAAAATTGATTTCAATAGGTTCAAAAAACGTTTAAAAAAATTCTTTTTGGCATTTTTTTTGTTTTGTAATTCGCTTAAACTTTTTAATTTTTTTTAATCACGTGAATCATCCACAATTTATATATAATTAGTATCTACACTTTCTGATAAATGGTTTTTCTTTTTTTTTGTCCATGTAATGATATTCCAGGTTTTATTTTTTGTTTCTTTTGCACAAATTTTATATATTCAAAATTTGTATTTTCATTTGATGCAAACGCTGTTTATCTTATATAATTTAGTAGTCATTGTAGCTATTAGCTAAATAATATTATGTGTTTATTTCTCAAAAATGTACTTTTTTCTTTGTACGTTTTTTTGTGTGGAGGTTACTCTGTTAAATCGCTAAGTATTATTATTAAAAAAATATTAAAAGAAAACTAGCGAAAACAGATTGAAATAAACAAAACACCGCACCAAATGAGATTGGGCACGTTCATAAGACACAACTGTTCTGGAACAGTTACCGATACGTCTTATCATTACGTCGCTACTTTTATGCTCTGTACGGAGCAATCGGCCATTTTTAGTAGCGCTACATATATCAAAGTAGGGAACGTGACATAAGACCCCAACAGTTACCGCTGGGATGATTTCGGCTAAAAAAATAATAGGATTGAAAAATGTGCATATTTCAAGCATAATTGCGTAATTTGGCATGGCATCACATATTCAAATTCTGCAGATATTATTTTTAATTACTATAGCAACCACTATGCCATAGCTAACTATGATCATTGTAAAAATAAAGTCCATTATTGAAATTGGAGTGAATATGACAATACACATACTGCCAAAAATTTTGTACGACTTTTAGGGGCGACATATGTATTTCACGTACTTCTAATGGACTACCGGAACTAACCTCATTCTTTTAAATGCCCTGTATATTTTAATCTAATAAGATTGCATATTAAATACTCTTCAAAAATAAAACGCTAAAAAATTTGATTGATTTCAAAAGGTTCAAAAAACATTTAAAAATTGGTATTTTTTTGTTTTGTATACAGGGTGGTGACTTGCGTAACGCATCATACGGATTTCAATGTAAAATTCATAACATGCGATTATTGGCTCCCCAAATTATTTTAGAGCAAAAATGTATTAAAGTTTTTTGTAGAAACAATTTTTTTACGTCAATCAGCCGTATTAGTTTTCAATTTTTTGCATAATAAAGGCGGAAAATTGGAAAAATAAAACCCGCTTCTTTTTCAATAATCTGCGACGCCATGGAATTTTCTAAAACAAAAAGACTCGCAAAAAGATATCCAGTTATCAATTAGCGCAGTTCGAAATAGATTTTATGATCGACTTGGTTATTGTCTTGCAGTTAATGGTGACTTATTCGAACATTTATTGTAAATTGTTATATTAAGAAACCGTTTTTAGTAATTTGGTCTTTCTTTATGTTGAATTCGCTGTTCTAAATATAATACTTTTTGATAGAATTTCATTTGTTTTATAGCAGACATTCCATGGCAATTGGTGTAGTTTTTGTATTATAAAATTCCATGGCATCACAGATTATTAAAAAAGATGGGGGTTTTATTTTTCCAATTTTCCGCCTTTATTATGCAAAAAATTGAAAACTAATACGGTTGATTGACGTAAAAAATTTTATTCTACAAAAAACCTTAATGCATTTTTGCTCTAAAATAATTTGGGGAGCCAATAATCGCATAATTTTACATTGAAATCTCTATGATGCGTTACGGTTATGGTTTTTCTTTTCTCTTGTCCATGCAATATTCCAGGTTTTATTGTTTGTTTCTTTCGTATAAGTTTTATATATTCAAAATTTGTATTTTCTTTTTTCATTTGATGCAAACTCTGTTTATTTTATACAATTTAGGTAGTCATTGTAGCTATTATTTAAATAATATTAATTAATTATTCATGTTTTTATTTCTAAAAGTTCTCTACGTTTTTTTTGTGCCCTATAATTAGAGGTTACTCTGTTAAATCGTAAAAGTATTATTATTAAAAAAATAATAAAGAAAACCAGCGGAAACACATTCAAATAAACAAAACACCGCACCAGATGCGATTGTTTACTAACCGCGTGACGTCAGAAAGAAATTTAAAATGGCGGCTAACCTGTGCAATGTCTTATCTTAACGGTTTTTGGGACCGTTAAGGGTTGAATTGCGTCCAAAATAAGCGGTCTCGCGACTGTCAAACTGAACGATTGTTCTTTGAAAGACAAGAATCATTGAAATTTTGCATGAAAATTGTTGAAATATCGTTAAAATGAACCCGAGCACCCGTTTAAACGCCGATTGCGCAATTACTGAGCGGATTGCGCAGATTTCACTAATTGCACGATTGCGCAGGTGTGAAGAAAACCTTCAATTAAACTCATTTTCTTATCTTCCTAGTACGATTGTCGCAATTCTAAGCAGCGCGGGAGAGAGAAACGTGTATTGTTCCGTGTGAAAGAAAAGGACGCAGCGTAACAGCTGCTCGTGGTATACGCATCGATGTGAGACTTCATGTGATAAAAGCCGAAATATTAATTACATTAATTTTAATTAAGGGTAGTCTTGACTTAATTTTTTAGGCAATCCATTTGCAATGTGTTTGTTTACATATTAAGATTACTAAAAAATGTATTTCACTCTGTTGATCTTATGTGCGATTAATGTTTGTGCTGGCCTACCAAAAAAAACGTTGTGAACGTATTATAGCTATAGTATCGACCGCGACAAATAACAATCGCTTGGTTACAGGGAATTAAAGGCTTCTATAAAGGAATTACGGCATCCTACATGGGCATTTCGGAGACGATAATACACTTTGTGATATACGAGGCGGTTAAGGCGAAATTAATCGAGCACAGATTGAAGAACGTACAAAATTACGACACGACGAAGAACTATAGGGACTTCTTGGAGTTTATGGTGGCGGGCGGTCTGTCGAAGACGATAGCGTCCTGCATGGCGTACCCGCACGAGGTTGCCAGAACGCGATTGCGCGAAGAGGGAAATAAGTATCACCGTTTTTGGCAGACGTTAGGATTGGTCGCCAAGGAGGAGGGCATACGTGGCGTTTATAGGGGGTTGGGTACGCAACTGGTGCGCCAAATACCAAACACGGCGATCATGATGGCGACCTACGAAGCTGTGGTGTATCTTTTATCTGTCAGATTTATCAATTACGAGGACGCGTAGAATATAAATTATTAGTCGTTGTTGTTAATAGAGGGGGGGTGATCGGAGAGATGTTTGTATATAAGAGTTTTAAACTTTGTACATAGTCAGTAGCATCTTTGTGTATAGAATAGCATGAAACTTGTACCTTCTTTACATGGCCTTAATGTATTACATTTTATAAAGTTTACTAATTTTTACTTTCCTGTTGGATTAATTGTTTCTTTTTTTTGAAATTTTTGTAAATATGTCCAGTCATTAATTAATAAAGATATAAAGTTAATTCGATTGCATGAATCGGTTCAAACCAGACTCTCTAAGATATCGATAAGCATTAACCGGAATTTAATCGACGACCTCGACCTTGTTGTTACATTTCATATACTATTTTTCCTTAATACTCGCTGTTTTATCGATCTTTTTTTAACTATTAAAGTAATGTTTAATATCTGCATAAATCTCCAGTTTATAAACAATCTAATTATGTTTTGTCTAAATTTGTAGGAAAATAACTGTAGAGCAGCACTCACTTCCTAATTACAAAAATAACTACTTTTGATGTATTTAAAAAACCCATTCATTTGCCAAGTAATCGGCATTTAAATTGTACGCAAATTTAAAAATATCTCCGTTACAAATGAAAGCACAAATTATCCGGTCGGTTGATAATAAAGTTTTTTTAGACTGCAACAGAATAAAAATTGGTAATGATGGCCAATTAATTAGGTGCTAATTTAATGCCAAAAATAAAAAAGGGCTATGGTGGCCGTTTTCTGTCTGTCATTATCAAATCTTTTATCTTCGTTATTTTGCTTAGCATGCGTCGAAAGGCCGCTCGACATGGAGCAATATAATTAACGCTCAAGAACTTGCAAGGTCAAAGCATTGCATTATATTTGACATGGTGCAATTCTATTTCAATTGCCACAAGTCTGCCAACAGAAAAACATGGATTTGCCAACACCAAATAACAATTAAATTTTGATTGCTTGTAGAAACATCAAAATTACACAAGAATAAATAAAGTAATCGGTGCGTCCCTCAGCATCATAGTTGTCACCGCTGTATTTGACTAGGTTGGTGACACAAAAGCAACTAGATTTATCACCAGAATTACGCGGTTCATGCAAGAAAAATAGACCCGGTTCTATAAAAATTGTGTGCAAGTCTCTTGCAACTTGCAATTCTTATTGCCCCATGTCAAACGGGCTAGTGTTATACCAGGGAAACATGTTACCTTATTTAAGTTTTAAAAACCTCCAGGTTTTTCAGTTATCAATCAATCAAAAATCAATTGTTAAATCCACAAACTACTCGCTCCTATTTTTTTTAAAAGGCGGTATATTGGATTTTTACAGAAAAAGGGTTAAATGTTTACATTACTAGAAAGAGCAAAACATGATGCCTATTTTAATAAGTAATACTCAATAAATATTTCAGTAAAATTAAAAAAGTTCATACTTATGCCATGACCATCCCTCTGTATGTACCGGGCGGGCAAATAAAAATGGCTGTTGGCCATATTTCAGAAACTAGTAGACATTAGAGCTTTTGGGTAAAAATTATGTAATAAAAGTGGTCAAGAAAAATTGTTGGAAATTATTTTCGAGTGTGTAAATGACCACTAGGGGGCGCAACAGACATGATAAAATATTGAATGATAATTTTCTCCAAATTTTATCTAAAAAAGTGGCATCAAAGATAGCTAAGTTTTAATCCTGATATAATATTTTTTGTTTTGGTTTTTTTTCCAACATTTTTTGAAATAAAGTAGTGGGGGGAAATTAAATGTTTTTGGTAAATAAATATTGATTTCTTCAATTTGGCTTAACTGATTTTAGCAAACTTTGTTTCGTTTAAGAGAGCTTTATTTGGCATACCAACAGCTTATTTGCTTTTATACCTGGTAATTTTACGGTCGTCACTAGAGGGCATTAACTGAAATTTCACTTTCTTGAAAAAATTAAATGAGATATTTTTTACACGATAAAATAGAGAATTAAATACTCGATATTTCACAAATCTGTATCTTTTTTTTAGAACTCGAGATATTGGCCAAAATAGATTTTAAAATACACGAATTCTTTGGTTTTTTCGGCGATTTTTTTCATATTGGACGATTTATATTTCTAAACAGAGCATAAAACTATTGATTTAAAATACTAAACAATTTTTTAATACCTCTTAAATACAACTATGTTTAAAGGGAAAAAAAGAGGGGGAAAAAAAGGCATTTGAACCCGAAATAAACGTAATTTAAAGAACAAGTAAAACAATTGAATTAAAGATTAATGACGAACTACTTAGATGTTCAAAATACTGCCCATCATTTTATAAAACGGCGGTTTCAATTTCGGCCCTTGAAATATTTTGAAGAGCCGTTCTAATTCTTTCCTCCATGTTTTCCCTGGTTGCATGACGTCTTTGATTCTTCCTTGCAGAGAAAAATCTAAGACAGTGAGGTCTGGTGACCTAATCAACTTACTCCTGAGCGCCCCTATCGCTCCCCTTCCAGGAGTGATAACGCCACCCGTTGGGAACGTATGTTCTAATAGATACCTAAGGTGAACCGTAGTGTACGTATCATAGATTTTAGATCTATTGCCTGGTTATTAAAGTGGCGTTATTGGCTGAAGAATCGTGATCTTATAGTCTTTCCTATTACACTCTAGAAGTGAAAGTCTATAGAGTGGAAACCCTCCCGAAATCACACTTTTTTTGTTTACCTGTCTGTTTGAGACAATATCTTGATAAAGATTCAAGATGGCTACTTTTGAGATACATTTACCAACTTTCTAAAGTTAAATAGGTATAGGCGCCATATTGGATTTTTAGATTATTTGATAATTTTTTAATTCTCTTTTCAACGAGCTATCATAGCATAAGATTGAAAATAAGGTACCAGTTATATCAACGGTTTTTATACCCTAATAAAGTAGGCTGTGATGAATTTAAAGAAAACAAAACAAAATCCATTAGAGGCAAAAAAACAATGAAAATAATTACAGCAGATGTTTAAAATATCAGAGGCGCACTCATGGGAGGGGGGTTTGGGCGTTACAACTCTCCAAAATTTTATATAAGTAGGCCTAGAAAAATTTTGACTTTTATGACGTCACTTATTGACTATCCTATTATCCATACTTACATGCAATCCCAGTCGATCTGGGACACACTGTATATCACTTCTTTATTATACTTTATTTAACGAATACAACATATTTATACATTTCGGAAGGTTCATGTATATTTACCACACCACGTAGTAAAACGTTTTCTTCATAATAATTAGGTACCTTTATGTATCTGGGACGCATTGGGTAGAAGGTAAGATAAGATTTCATAACGAATCTCTCCAGCGCAAAGGCTTTCACTCCTAAATGATACACAGTTTAGATGGGAAAATGAATGGACTGAATGTAAATGAAAACGGGTGCGGAGGAGGCTGAATCCAAGTAGATTCACCCTACCAAAAATAAATTTTAGATTCCTACAGTCAAAATTGTATGCTTGTAATATTAAACACTTCTAAAACTAGTTGTTAGGTAAACTCCTAACTTGACTTTCAGACTACTTTTAATAGTCATTGCTTGTAATAACCTTTTTAGAAAATGCCCTCTAGCGCCTTTATTTTGAACCCGACGCAAAAAGTGTAGAAGCCTTTTTTGTAGATTTCATCAAGACACATCTTTTTTGTAATTAACATTTCACTCTGATGCTTACTTTTAGAGAAAAATGCAAATTTAAAAAAATAAAATAAATAAAAACTTCTCAAAAACAAAGGAACGCAATATTGGCACATCGAAAACTTATCACAATTACAATACTTTCTTTTAAAAAGGGGATTCCTGAATTAATTCATAGCAGTTGAAGGGACACTAGGTTCAATAGTGTAACGAGCGCATTAAGTTGGATTTGATTTTTCTGAATTTCGAGCAAAAATCTCAAATCAAAAGTACTCAAATCCGGATTTTTAAAGCTGTCAAGGTTCTAGAATGTTCCCAGACAAATATTGATTTGTCATTTGACATTCCTGTTGGCGTAGTCTGGTATCTACAGGTCTCCGTTATTACCCACTAAAGGCTCAGATTTCCTCTGGTTAATGAGGCTTCTTAAATTGCATTTGCCACTCGGCCTCATGAAAACTGCCAGCTTTGAATTTTTTTTAATTAAAGCACCGCCCTAAAACCCATTTGCGATTGGATGTTAATAAATAAGTCTCTTACGCTCCTTAAAAGGTTACCGGCACTATACCAATTTGCAACATTTTTTCGCACACAATCGAAAATAAAAATACGAAAACCAAAGCAATAATATTCCAATTAATTTAATATCACAGCCATCTTCATTTGTTTTAAGAAGTTATTTTGGTTGCATAAAATTAGGCGTCCTTCAGAAGAGTTTGTCATTTAAAAGTAGACATAGGGAAAACAGTAAATGACTTCTGATTTAGGATAGGCCACGAGTTTGGTAATCATTTTCAATCACTCCCCGAGCAAAAAAGGTCACTTAATGACCCTTGAAAAACAAAAAGTAGTAATATAAACATTCGCACGCTAAAACAGTTATAATGTGACAAGCTCCTCTTGTGCTGAAGATAGAATGGTGAGGAACACCCTACACTGTGATGCGTCATGAATACGAGCGACACATTTTTACAGAGAATTAAAATGGCATCACTCTTGGTACGAGTATGAACAATTAAAAGAATGGATACAGAAAAAACAAGAAGAGATAAGATACTTACGCCTATGAAATTGGTTACAAAAAACTTCACGAGATGTCAATAATCCGGGAATGTTGTCTGGAGGCCCTTCTAATGGAAGCAACGTGCGAAAAAGTTAGAATCTACCAGTGCTTAGCCCCAGTGTAAGACGTTACAAGCTACTTTTGTATTTTGTTGTCGTGCCGATCCCTGAAATTCTTGTTGCAGTCAAGTGGATTAGTCTAAAGGCCGCTTGACATGGAACAATGCAACGCGCAAGAACTTGCAAGGTCAAGGAATTGCATTGTGTTTGGTTCAGTTGCCACATTTCCGAAACCAGAAGAGAAAAATGGATTTGCCTCTAACCTCAAATAAAAATTTGATTGCTTGAAGAAACATGCGAATTACAAAAATCAGTAGGATTAAATTAGGTTGGTGGAGATTGCACGGTTCATGCAACAAAAAGAGAACTGCGCATGCCTTCTTCGCAATTTCTCTTGCAACTTGCACGCAATTGCAATCTGTATTGCTCCATGCCAAGCGAGCTTAACGAATGGTTTGGCAAACAAACTTGGGTTTACCGCCGTCTTTATTCACTAACATGAACAACTGAGAGGTTAATTTAACTAAAGAAATAAACCGACTGCAGGACTTCCTTAATATCAAAATCGCCGGTCTTTGGCAACTTGGCAAGCGCCCGATTCAATTTTAATTTACTCATATCGCCAGCGGAGGCACTATCCGAAAAATCTCTGCAAAGAATACATTAAAGTATCTTTAACACTTTCAGACAACGTACCCAATGCCGTAGCTAAATCTCTCCGTTAAAAATTGAGACAAATTTTCCAAGATGTTCTGCGAGTGAAGCTCCACGAATTGTTTGCGGCAAATCTGAAAACATCCATCGGCGAGATGTTCACGAAAGCGTTTACGTACCTCGTTCATAACTGCAACTGTCGATGCGTGCGTCCAATAGCAGTCGTGAACCGAAACGAATACAAGTCCCTTGCGCTCGCACCACAGCGAAGTTAACATCATATGACTAGAATCTAAAGAATGAATAAAATTTGGCGGAAACGCGTTCTTTTGTTTCATCACGTTGGGTTTCCTGAGAAATTCGGTTTTAAAACATCGTGTCACGCATGTCCATGAACTTGGCAGGCCTACTACAGCAGACCATGGTTCTGCTTACTCATATCGTTAGTGCACGTTAGTGCCGCTGAAGAAATCGTTAGTGCACAAAAGGAAACTTACTATTTTTAAAAAATATTTGTGGGCCTGCTAACTTCATGCCAGCAGACCCATTTGAGAAAATCGATTCAATCTTTACACTAGTTAAACTAGCAGCGTTAGTGCTCGTTAGTGCCGCCAATATAAACGTTAGTGCTCAAAGTGTAACAGCTCAAAACGTTGTAAAAAGAGGTCTGCTAATTTCATGCAGCAGACCCACATTTGTCAAATTGGCTCTGTCCTAATGCGAATTTGAAACGGCTCGTTAGTGCTTCACATGCGAACGTTAGTGCTGCAAGGGATCCGCACATTAAATAACGTTTACGCCTTCATTATACGTCATTCTACACCGGGCCGTGTAGATGGCGCTCTTTTCCGTGTCTCGCTAAAGTAGCTACATATAGAAAGTACCGCAATCATCCGCCATTTTTGGGCAAATTTGCTGCCAACTTAAAAAAATTGACAAATAAAATCTGAATAGCTGTCATTTTTTATAACCTAACTTCATAGTACTGTCATGTTTTATAGAAATATACAGGGTGGTTTTTTGGGAGCTTTAGTTAAAAGTTTCTGGGAAAGTAAAGTAGGTAGGTTTTTGAAAATTTGTACTTAGGAGTGACTCTGAAGGCCGAATCGATGTAAAATATTTTCAAAATGGCCGCACTTCCGGAAACACCGGAAGTAGATAGTAACTTCGTTATTTTAAATGGCAACCCCTATTTTTTATTGCATTTTTGGATTCTACGTGAAATTTCACTTCTTTTGATACCCATATGTCGATATCTACCATTTATGGTTTTTAAGTTATTTTGATTTTAAGAAAAAAAATGGCGGATGCAGATGGTACCTTGATAATTGATTACTTGAAAACGGTTGTAGTCATGGCAACCTATTTTTATCAGTGCATAGAGAATGAATAGGGCTTTCTTTTAGTGCACTTAAAAAAAAGTTAAGTTGCGTACGACCGCCCCTATGGATATCCAAATTTATGAAACTTCAAAGACTAAAAACTTAGTTTTTTTAAATGGAATGACCATGTTCTTACTATTCCATGAGATAGAGAATCGAAATGGGCATATTTTGACAATACATGTTCCTATAGCTATCTTTAACAGTTTCTGACTTATTCCCATTTTATTGATTTGACACTATTTTTTTCGGATTTTCTTTTTAGTAGTCGGTCATGATTCTATAACAATTGAATTTTAAACAAATCTAGTGACACTAATCCACCACCCACTGTTATAGGTTAACATAAGTTTTTCAAAAATCGAGAAATGACTCGCACTGGTTTCACCTATTTTGGAATTTAATTGTTATTTATGGTGAAATGGGCAGAATCGCGGCGCGTGCTTTCCGTACATTCATTCGAAAACTGGAACGAAATTGTATGAATTTTGGAAATTTTGTACCCCTAATGCACTTACAAACCGTTGAAGCACAAGTGATACAAAGCTCTACAAGAGAATATTTAAGAAAATGAATTGAATTGCAAATGCAAGATTAACAAAATAAATTCAATGCAAAATATAAAAAACTTCGTTGAAACATTTTTGGTATGGAATTGTTGCTAGAACAGATATCGTATTACCTCTCTTAATTTCCAGACTTATACGTTGTTTAAGAAATTCAGTTGAACGACTCTGTTTAGATTTTTCAAAAATTTTCCGTCCTATATCCTTAATAAATGAGTTATTTATTAATGAATTATTTAGACTAGAACTAGAATCAATGGTATTAAAGAATCCATTCCTTGATTTGTTTAAAATTCGATTGTTATAAAATCATGGCCAACTACTAAAAAGAAAAAATGGCATCAATTCCGAGATCAATTCAATGAAATAGGAATAAATCAGAAACTGTTAAAGATAGCTATAGGAACATGTAATATCAAAATATGCCAATTTCGATTCTCTATCTCATGCAATATTAAGAACATGATCATTCCATTTAAAAAAACTGAGTTTATAGACTTTGAAGTTTCTTCAATTTGGATCTCCATAGGTGCGGTTGTACGCAACTTAACTTTTTTTTAAGTACACTAAAAGAAAGCCCTATTCATTCTCTATGCACTGATAAAAATGGGTTGCCATGACTATAACCTTTTTCAAGTAATCAATTATCAAGGTACCATCTGCATCCGCCATTTTTTTTCTTAAAGTCAAAATAACTTAAAAACCATAAATGGCAGATATCGACATATGGGTATCAAAAGAACTGAAATTTCACGTAGAATCCAAAAATGCAATAAAAAATAGGGGTTGCCATTTAAAATAACGGAATTACTATCTACTTCCGGTGTTTCCGGAAGTGCGGACATTTTGAAAATATTTTACATAGATTCGGCCTTCAGAGTAACTCCTAAGTACAAATTTTCAAAAACCTACCTATTTTACTTTCCCAGAAACTTTTAACTAAAGCTCCCAAAAAAACACCCTGTATACATATATCTCCAAACAGGTGGAACAATCCCTAACATTAAACTTACTAGAATCTGGTAACTTCCCCCATTTTTGGGCAAAAATCATGCGTTCTCTCTCTAACACACGAGCCCAATGGATTGCGGTACTTTCTATATTTAGTGACTTTATGTCTCGCGTTACGCAAATGCAAATAATAGCGAGTTTCTTGTATTAATCAAGGTATTAATATATAAAGGTACTTGACAATATACGGTATGTCGGAATAAATTTTTGGGGAGAAAGTTTGTTGATTTTCAAACGCCACTATCTCCTTATCGTACTCGTTTGACTTTTTATTAAAAGAAAATACTTACGACTTTTCTCATTTCATTATTAGCCTGTAAAAAATTAAAAATAGTTCCAAACTACATTTCGTTCATTCTCTTCGACTTTTTTTTTGGATTGGAAACAAATTTTGCTAATTGTTGTGTTGTCAGCAGAACCTATAAGTTATAGTTAATTTTTAAGATGCTTTGGAAGTTTTTTGACACGAATCCATTAAAAGCACCGACGTTTACAAGTGAAGTCCTTCAGATTCGCATTTAGGCAGGACCACTTTAATAAATGTGGGCTTGCTGCATGAATTTAGGAAACCCATAATTTCACGCTTGAGCTCTTGCGCTTTGAGCACTAACGTTTTTTTTTGCGACAGTAACGATCACTAATACTGATAGATCGATTAAAGTAGAAAATCAAACGGATTTCGTTTGTTGGTCTACCGGCGTGAAGTTGGCAGGTCCCAATAAGCCACGTTTAATTTTGAGATGGCTTGGTACCTTTTTGATGCGGACCCCTTGCAGCACCAACGTTCGAATGTGAAGCACTAACGAGCCGCTTCAAATTCGCATTAGGACAGAGCCAATTTGACAAATGTGCGTCTGCTGCATGAAATTAGCAGACCTCTTTTTACAACGTTTTGAGCTGTTACACTTTGAGCACTAACGTTTATATTGGCGGCACTAACGAGCACTAACGCTGCTAGTTTAACTAGTGTAAAGATTGAATCGATTTTCTCAAATGGGTCTGCTGGCATGAAGTTAGCAGGCCCACAAATATTTTTTAAAAATAGTAAGTTTCCTTTTGTGCACTAACGATTTCTTCAGCGGCACTAACGTGCACTAACGATATGAGTAAGCAGAACCATGGTCTGCTGTAGTAGGCCTGCCAAGTTCATGGACATGTGTCACGCGCTTTGAGCTCTTACTCGTATTTGTCCATGTGAAACGGCTCGTACAAAGGTCTACTGCCGAAGGATCTGTATTTGTTGTAAGGCTGTACGATTGGCAGTCCGAGGGGCGTGACCCATTCGACGTTCTCGTTACCAACCGACGAGATTAGACGCGCGCATTCCGTAAACCAATCTTGAATTTCTCTCGTCGACGTAAACATCGAACGGAGCGAGTCGAAGGTGCGACCCGTCAGGTAGGAGGACGCCGCCCAGACGTGCTCCTTCGGAAAGTTCTCGATATCCTTCAGCTGTTTCGCGATCTGCAAACGCGCGCCGAATCGCGTCACCCCGTAAACGGTCGTCATTATCGTCTGCTTTATGACCTTGCGCATTATAAACCCCTTGAGAATTTTCGCGACCTCGTTTCCGCCCGCCTCGTCCTTCGCCCGCTGCTGCTCGACCAGCGCGACGACCGCCGAATAGACGTCCTGCGGAACGCGCGACGGACTCAAGTTGACGCTGTACGCGCCCGCCTGATCCCTTCCCAGCGCGGCGTAATGCTGCAGTCCGTTGCAGCTGCCGTCTTGATGGACCGGAAAGTGGGAGAGGTACTCTTCGGGATCATCGGATCGGTGCGCCCGCGCTATTTCCATGCAGCACGCCAGCGTTTGCCAGGGTTCTTCGGATTCGGCCCACCACATCTTTCCCGTTAGCGGATTGTCGGCGGAATCCAAAACTTTATCCATGACTTCATTGGCGAAGATTAACCTGTAAGTATTGCCATGCTTTGTAAGCCTACCCTCATTATCATTATTATTTTTATGGTTTTGGAACAGAACTTTTAGTAATAACTCTTTTGAATCGAAAGATAATATATTGTTGTGTAAACTACATGGAGGTCATGGGGGGGTTTAATCGAAATTTTTACGAGTTTAAAGTTTTATCTGGTCCATTGTAATCGAACAAGTTTTTCGACAAACAATGTCACGTGCGAGATAAGCCATGCAGGTGTTTTATAAGGTCTGGCGACGTAAAAGAATTTTGAGTATCGTCTGGTAATAACGATGTTGAATTTGTTACAGGAAGTAGTTTTTACTTAAATAGGAAGAATCAAGAGTAAACGCTGCTGTCTCGGGTTATTTTTAAAGAGAACGTATATGTCTGTGATCCTAATTTTGGTACTGGCAATCCAGCCAGCTATGTAATTAAAAAAAAAAACAAGTTGTAAATCAGCATATGGGCGATTAAAGCGCATTTTTGGTAATACAGATCAGTATTTTATTAGCAAAGTTTAACATTATCCATCTCACGAGTAATCTAACTCAAAATAAACTAGAGCCTGCACATCTACACTCTATCAGAAAACTTTTAGTGAAAATTTGAAGTCTTTAGCTATTGTAATTGCTGAGATCTCAACCGGACAACCAGCCAGCCATAACGAATATAATAGCGTATTCTTCCCGAAAGGTCATGTAACGGACTATTTCAGTGTACAAAGGAAAATAAGTTATGGCATAAATGTTCTAGCATTCCGCAATCTGCGCATGCGCACACCTGATGTTTATCAAATGGGATATATTTGCCTTACTAGAATAATCTGGTTAAAATTTCAAAAAAATATCTGTATAAATAAGAAAGTTGACATACTGCGCATGCGCACATTAATCGGCAAGATTTTTCTAGGTTGAGGTGCCAGAGCTATAAGATATCGAACGCAAAAAGAACGAACTAAATATCTTTAAAACTCTCGGGCAGACGGAGAAAATGGCCATAATCACGCCTTCCAGCATGAGTTGATTGAAGCCTTCGGGTCTTTCAGGTTTATAAAGAAGTCGCAATGTTGGGATTTATCAATTTGAGCTAACAGGGTGCGCCCACAAAGTAGGGCGTCCAAATGGTACATTTTTTTAAATAGAATGTATTTGAATGCATTTTTGAATTCTACGTGTAATTGTACGTCTTTTTTATTATATGGTTAATATCCGAAAAGCTAGTAGTTTTAAAGATAATTCGATTTTTAAGAAAAATTGGGCATTTGCAAGCGTCAGTATATTATCAAATTATTATTACTTAAATTTTGATTCCAGGTTTTATATCTTTTATCCTGGGTTAAGTAAAAGTCAAATAAATACATCTACTATTAAACATTAAAAATATAGTAGTATAGTAGGTCCAAAGTTGCAAAACAGCATAATTAAAAAATCTCACTTTTTTAAAATGGAACACCCTGTATATTTTTCTGTCATCATTTAGCTCCTCCAAAAACCTTCAACTTTTAATAATAATGTCCGATACCTATCTCTAATAGTTTTCGAAATATCTTGATTTTCCTGGGTTTTATATTCTAATCTTATATGTAATTTACATAATAATGGGGTGGCCATGCAAAAAAGGGCAATTTTTCAAAACGATAATCATATCGATTAATTTATTTTTCAAACAATTTATTTTAAGTCCAAAAATTGGAGAATAAGTAAAAACATTTGACTACAAAGCAAATTTAATTTAACTCCTAATGTCATCCAGTCAGTGATATTAGTTTCATTTATTTTTATATTCACCTCGTTATTATGTAAATTAGAACTTATTTCAGATTAAAATATAAAAACTAGGAAAACCAAGATATTTGTTTATGTTTTTACTATCAAACTTATTCTCCAGTTTTTAGACTTAAATGAATTATTCGAAAAATGAATGAATAAATATGATTTTAGCTTTGGACGAGGCAGATAAAAATTGCCTTTTTTTTCATGGCCACCTCACTTATTATGTAAATTACACATTTCTTACTTAAGATTAGAATATAAAAACCAGGAAAACCAAGATGTTTCGCAAACTATCAGAGATAGGTAGAGGACATTATTATCAAAAGTTGAAGGTTTTTGGAGGAGCTAAAAATACCATTTTGGCACCCTACTTTGTGAGCGCACCCTGTATAATTCCAAATATATTTAAAATGTGGAGAATATTCAACCATATCATAATACAAAAGACTCTATCGAAAAATCTTATCTTCAAGGCATTAAGTTACTTCGCGCAATCGTTGACTCACCCTGTACATGTTTATTTTGTGAATGAAGTTCTGCAATAGACGAAACAAAAATCAAGTCTACAGTCTCTTTGTGCCGAAAGTATGTGCCCCTTTAAAGCATTTCTGTAATTATCGATTTTTTTGGAATCAGGTACCGCCTGCAAGGGTCACTGTGTAGCCACAATGGCTTTCCCCTTTAATCTTTATTCTGTATTGTCTCCAGAAATCTTTACATGATTAATGCCCGGTTTCACAAACGATGATTAAGGTTAATCAATGATTAAAAATATTAGAATGTTAGCCACCTTTGATTATACGCTCATTTGTTTTCGATTCTAATATTTTTAATCACTGATTAACCTTAATCATCATTTGTGAAACCGGGCATAAGTACAGGGTGGCCAACTAAGAATGCGAAGTACTGTATCTGAGAATCTATCCATCGTAGAGGCTCGCGGTAAAAAAATTTAATACTAAAACGGCCACGAGCAAAACCTGGAAAATATTTTTAAGTTTCTGAAATGACCGCTAGGGGGCGTAACTGCAATCTGGAATCTAAAAAAGTGATGTTTCTGTTATTAACCTAACAAAAAAATGTCCGGTTTTTGAAGTTGACGATAATCTGAACAATTTTTGTTTTGACAATTTTTCCTGTATCTCTAAAAATGAAGTGGTGGGGGGTATTCAAAGGTTTCCGTAAAGAACACCCTGTATCTTCGAAACGGCTGAGCCGATTTTTACAAACTCGGGTTAATTGAAAAGAGCTATTCTTCCGCTACAAATAGTATAATATTTGAAGTTACGTTAGTTTCACATATCGCCGCTTGAGCGCTTTTTTCGACATTCCGACAGAAATGGTTAATTTTCTCAAAAAAATTAAATGCGTTGTTCGATTTTTTATTCATAAAAAAGTAGCTAAATGATGCCTAAACAAGCTCGCGAAATATTATATGACATAGATCCTGACATAGATAGGGCCACAAATTATATAATAAAAATAATTCCGGAAAAATTAGCTTAAAAAATAAAATTTTCTTTGGGCTAAATTTTAGGTTAGGAACAAGATATCGAGATCCGGTTTTCGCGAGCTTGTTTAGACATCATTTAGCTACTTTTTCATGAAAAAAAAAATCGAACCAATGCATTTAATTTTTTTGAGAAAATTACCATTTCTGTCGGAATGTCGAAAAAAGCCCTCAAGCGGCGATATGTGAAACTAACAAAACTTCAAATATTATGATATTTGTAGCTGAAGAATAGCTCTTTTGAACTAACCCGAGTTTGTTAAAATCGGCTTAGTCGCTTCGAAGATACAAGGTGTTCTTTAGGGAAACCTTTAAATACTCCCCACCACTTCATTTTTAGAAATACAGGAAAAATTGTCAAACAAAAATTGTTCAGATTATCGTCGACTTCAAAGACCGGACATTTTTTTGTTAAGTTAATATAGCGGAATTCACAGAAACATTACTTTTTTAGATTCCAGATTGCAGTTAGGCCCCCTAGCGGCTATTGCAGAAACTTTTTTCCAGGTTTTTCTCGTGGCCGTTTTAGTAATAAATTTTTTTACCGCAAGCCTGTACGATGGACAGGTTCCCAGATACAGTACCTCGCATTCTTATTTGGCCACCCTGTACAATAATCCAATAAAACTTTGCACAAAAAAAGCCGACCTGGGGCACTAATTGAGTTAGAAGCCATTTTTAATACGATGTTAGAACCACTGCTGGAAGTAAGAGTCCAGATTTGTGAATATGAGAGACCACCAATAACCTTTAAAGGGAAATAAATTTGCGATCAGCTAAGGTATTCTAACAACGTGATGCATCTAACGAACCGGAAGGGGAGAAATGCCGCGTAGCGGAGTATGGGGGTACATAAGAAGGCCGTCTCCACAAATCATTTGTAAAATTACTGGCAGCAGTAAAGGGGAACCTGGCCTGTTTGCCCCCAAACACCAAATCTCCCATCAAGCAAGATGGTGTGTTCTGGAGGATGCCACTACTGCAAAGTTGCGTTAAAATGCTCACCCCTTGTACCTTCTGCGACAGCATGTACTACTAGAACACTCCTGCCAAGGTTCTGGATTCAGAGGAGACTCACTCAACCCATCTGATTCTCCACTGGTGGTAAAGAATAATTAATAATCTAAAATGTTATTAATTATTGTCTTTACATACATTACTGCATTTTAAAAGCTTAACTGTCTAATGATTCCGGCTAAGCCACGTGGTATTTCTGACAAATAAATAATAATGCTGTAGTGTTGTCTAATCTAATTTCCAAATGGAAATGTGTCTACCTCTCTCTGTTATGGCGGGTGTACCACAGGGATCCGTCTTAGGACCATTGTTGTACCGTGTGTCCTATGTTGGGTGAGACTGCAGTGTATCGCAGCTGTTTTTAAAGATAGAGACTTATTATTATTACACAATTTGAAATGTTTCGTGGATTTTCTTTTGCTTTTGTTGTTTTTGTTAATTTAGTTCGTGTATTTAATAATAATATTTATTGGTGGTGTTTATACAGTAAATATTTCCACATGTCACAGTAGGGAAGTACAATTGCCACTTTATTGTTCGGAGCCATCATTATTTTTATTACTTCAGTTTAGTTAATATGGTATAGATTCAACTGCTGTGTAAACTGCTGGGGTAATTCTTATAGACACAAGTTTTCGGACTTTTGGGTAGCTCCCAAATTTTTTGCCGAACAAACAGAATTCTTTTGGTCTCAATTCTTATTTCTAAAATTGAGACGAAAAGATAATCGAGTACAGAACTGATACTAACCGATCGGCGATACTATCTCGTTTTTTTAACCCCGTCAGATTGACGAGATGCAGCTTCAGCCAATCAAATCCGTTCGGACCCAATGGACGAGGTTCGGCGAACACCAACAAAGACCGCGCCATGTCGGAACCTAAATGGTTGAGATGCGGAGGTATGGGATACACGCGACCTCGGAAATCCATATTGTGCGGCAACCAGAAGACGTCGTCGCGGAACTGCGTAACACACTCTTGTTAAAAAATCGCTTAAATTGCGCGAAACACCTTACGTGATTAGCCAATGATAGTCGGTATAGGCAATCGCACCAGAGCGAATAGACTTCGGCCCGTTTCCTCTTCATTTGCAATTTTTGGCGAAAAACATTTTTTTTATCAGTTGGAGATTGCGTTAACGGAGCCATGAACGGTTGCAGCTCGGGAATATCCAAGTTCGTCGAGCCACCCGAGTTGAACACCTGCGATCGAAATAATAATAATAATAATGTTTATTCCCACAAAAGAACTAATAGGAAAACAAAAATAAAATAAATAAAGAAAATAAGAATAATGTGGGAAAGGACTTAACGTAGCGTTTTAAAGACGAATTTGGGAAGTTAATGTTACCTCAAGGACTACATCCAAAACGGGCCCGTTCACCTTCCAAGGTACCGCGGCCAATTGATTGAGGCAGTCGAGCGAGGGGTAAATTTGACTGGGTGGCGCCTCTCTCAGTCGCTGCTTTTGGAGGATTGCCTGCATCGGTAACCGGACCACCTCGCACGGAGAGACGAGGTAGCCTCCGGATTTGACGGACGTCCAAGGAACCGGCGGACACATCATTGGCACTTCGTTCGGGCTGAAGGTCAACGTTTCCGGTACCGAGGCACGGTACAGTCGTGATAATATGGGATGCGGCTTCACCTCCTCCTTTACCAGGCGACCTTGCGAGCGGAAAATTGTGTAGAAACTCGGCAGGAAGTTCCTAGATGAGCGCATTAAACGATGGTTTTAATAATAATAATAATAATAAATTGGTGTTTACACCCGTCCACTGATGTAACCCCACAAGTGAGAAATTAAAAAAAAATAATAATAATAATAATAATAATAACTATCCCTAGATTTCCAATGTAGGTACGTGTGACTATTATTATTTTTTTTTTTTTTTTTTAGGACCCTACATAACTTCACCAGACACAGACACAGACACTAATCGTTACTTGATTTTAATCCGTGCGATTAGTTAACCAGGCTAGACCTGAGTTCTCACAAGAAACACCGACAATAATAATAATAAATGTCTTTAATAAGTACCTAGGTTAAATTATGTGCAACCTACTTGTGTTTGTTGCTAAGTCGCATTACGTTCACGTTGATCGTCAAATCGTGCATAATAATGTGGTACAGGAATTTCCCAATGTTTTGCAAGACTGTCGGTGTCCAAGGTCTATGAGCAATCATCACAGAAGCTCCCTCCGACCTGTTTAAACAATCAATCCACTGCCACAGCTGTCGACTGTTATAGTAATTAACTTCTGAATCCGAATGCCCATGTAGATTGGCGTAATACTCACAGTATTTGCCGTGGACGTTCACAATCTAAACAATTTTTTTTTGATTTCGCATTTTGTCAACTCGTTAAGCCCACCTTGTCAAGTACTCCGGTTTTTTGCTTTTGCAACACCCTGTATCGCAAGTAAACCTTTAAGCCAAGCTCCTTGTACAACTGCTGACAAGTCGGACTGTAAGTCTCGGATCCCTGCGCGATCTTCTTCGCCTCCTCGACGATAATCTGAACAAACTCCCTGCTCGGGATCACCCTCAGGTACGGCTCCAACGAAAACACCTGCCTTCGTGCGGTAACGGAGAGCAAGTCTCGATTGAACCCGTCCAGGGCCGCCTTCTCCCACGTTTTGATGAGGTCGTCAAAGGCGGCGCGATACGCCAACGTTTCGCCGCTGATAGTTTCCTTCTTCTCGATACTCTTCACCTAAACCATAGAGGAAATATAATAATTGTTACGAACAAATAGAATAAACTGGCATTGCTAATTTTCGCTCAGGAGATGCTGTCATCTGCTTTTTAAAGGCGTGTAACTAACCGTAAAAATAGAAAATCGTACGTTCATTAGCGTGCCGATATGCGGTCCCCTCGTTCTGAGATGGCGCTATAGTTAGTCGAGGAGCGCCTAGTTACGAAATGCGTTCTCGTAAATCTAGTTTAGAAAAACGTACGTAGTTCCTTCACTCTCGCACTTTAGACTCTTTAGAGTTTCATTAAAATTTTTCTCTACGTTTTAAGACATAAATACAATTTCAACCAAAATACTGTTCAACAAACGCCCAACGTACTTATTTGGTTTCAGCAATGGAACAATTTACGACATTTACTGTAATGGTCAACACTCAACTGCAAGTGTACAGGGTGGCCAAATAAGAATGCGAGGTACTGTATCGGGGAACCTGTCCATCGTAGAGGCTTGCGGTAAAAAAATTTATTACTAAAACGGCCACGAAAAAAACCTGGAAAATATTTTTAAGTTTCTGCAATGGCCGCTAGGGGGCGTAACTGCAATCTGGAATCTAAAAAAGTGATTTTTCTGTGAATTCCACTATATTAACCTAACAAAAAAATGTCCGGTCTTTGAAGTTGACGATAATCTGAACCTGTATCTCTAAAAATGAAGTGGTGGGGGTATTCAAAGGTTTCCGTAAAGAACACCCTGTATCTTCGAATCGACTGAGCCGAATTTAACAAACTCGGGGTAATTGAAAAGAGTTATTTTTCGGCTACAAATATTATAATAATTGAACTTTTATTAGTTTCACATATCGCCGCTTGAGGGTTTTTTTCGACATTCTGACAGAAATGGTTAATTTTCTCAAAAAAATTAAACGCGTTGGTTTGATTTTTTTTTCATGAAAATGTAGCTAAATGATGCCTAAACAAGCTCGCGAAAACCGCATCTCGATATCTTGTTCCTAACCTAAAATTTAGGCCAAAGAGAATTTTATACCCTCAAAATTTTATTTTTTTAAGCTAATTTTTCTGGAATTATTATTATTGTATAATATGTGGACCTAAGGTGGATCGATTTAAAAAAGGAGGTTTTTAATGCCGCCTTACATGCCCGAAATGCTACCCATCACGATATAAAAATATATATAAATATATATCTCAAGAGAGCTTATTTAATGCGCATAAGGTCAGTATAAGCTCGTAAAGAGGACCTATTTTAAAGTGATACTTAATGTATGGGACGATAGGGGTCAATATATTCGACAGTAAAACAGTCAAGTCCAGCATTTCGAATTTCCCGCTCAAATTTGACGTCACACTAATAGAGTCTTAATTCCATTTTACATGCGCCGGCAAGTAAAACTTTTGAAAATGGGAAAGGCGAGGGGAGGAGCAACCACACGTATTACCCATTCATGGTATTCTAATTAAAGGTCTCAACAAAAGGAACTGTTTTCTACGAACTATCGCCCTTTATTCTGACACTGAAAAAATTAGAAATTACTACAAATGAATTTTTGAATTTTTAAGAAATCTTTTTTTGAACCTTTTTGAATCAATATTGAATTTTTTCAGTGTTATATTTAAAAAAACAAAATCTAATATGCTATTTTTAGATTGAAATATACAGGGTATTTACTAAGAATATACACGGTGTCCATTTTTCGAGTGCCACTATGGGGATCTCGTTTACCTGAAGAGATAGAGAGTTGGTTAAATGAGGGCGAATTTTCGTGCTGAATAATAATCTGAAAAGAAATTAATCTTTATCTTTAATAGTTTTGAAAATATCGCAAAAAAACATTATTCAGACACTTTTTAATTTTTCGGGATGAGTGCTTTGGAAAAACAAAACGTTCTTTTATTGTGAACAAAAGTTTGACAGTTTGATCCATCTGTCTGGTTGGAGTGTTGGCAGGGAACTAGTTGTGTTGAGATTTTCATCTGAATAGAATTGAACCTTCGTTTTGCAAGAAAATTATAATTCAAATTAGAACAAAATACTTAAGAATAAATAATATTTTCGCAATAATTCTAGCACAAACGTAAATTACACTTGAAATAAGTCAACCTGTTGTTCACAACAAAAGAATGTTTTGTTTTTCCAAAGCACTCTTCGCAGAAAATGAAAACTGTAATTTTAGGAAAAATGTGTTACTGAACCATACCATGTGTGATATATCGTTGTAAAGAGAAATAAAGACGTAATCTCAAAATGTCAAAATCCAAAACGGCGCCCATAAGAAAAATTAAAGTTGCCACGTTTTCTCCGTCAATTTTCTTTTTTTGCAATATTTTCAAGACTATTGAAGATATTTTAAATTTCTTTTCAGATTATTATTCAACACGAAAATTCGCAACTTTGCCCTCATTTAACAAAATGTCTACCTCTTAAGATATGCGAGATCCCCATAGTGGCACTCGAAAAATGGACACCGTGTATAAGGTCATTCTGAAATTTATCTCCGTATGTCTGAAGCAAAAATGTGCAAATTTTGATTTTACCATTGCAAGTTTGACCCAAAAAACCCAAAAACCCATAACGTCTATAAAAGTGTCGAAAATGAGACACCCTGTACATGAAACACTATGTAAAATTCCAAAGGAAAATAAAAATGTATTTTCATTTTAAACTTTAAAACTTAATACGATAAAATCAAAATTTTTGCTCGGGTAAGAAATACAGGGAAAACCACAAAATTGTTAATTTAAAAATGATTATCGGCCCGTATTATAAAGCCATACAGCATACTTAACTATGTTGTCAGCTAACAGTGTTGTTAAGACATGTGATTGAATGTTTTTACAAACAATAACATCATTCTTAAGCCGGACCGTGTATCGCTGGACTGCAGTACTAAGGGTCCCTGGTTCGAATCCGGGTACGGGCATCGGTATTTGTAAATGTGTAGTGAGTTAGGTTGGTAGAGCAGCCTTAGCTGAAACCCCGCCCACTCAATACTAAAGACAACAAGTTAAAAAAATAATCGTAAACGATTTACAAAAAGCGCATTTCCGCTTGCATTCATTTCTAATTTGTCAGATGCAACTTCTATTAAAATCGTAAAAATCCGGCCACAAATATGAAAGATAGCGTTGCATATGTGCAATCCATTTTGATGTCCTGATTTCAGTTTATAAGAAGAATTTCATTCCAATGCTTTTATAAATAAGAAAGTTGACACTGCGCATGCGCAGACCTAAATTTTGAAACTAACGTCAGATTTTCCTTTGTTTCAAGTGGCTATGCATCAAATTTCATTTAAATGCTTCCATAAATAAAAAAGTTTGCCATTCGGTTTATAATTAATTGAGATGCGAAAAGAGCACTGGGAATTTTGAATCGATTCGACTCAACTTTTGGCCTTGCGTATTATATGGCTCAAGCTATGCCCATATTGAATTTGAATTTGAAGTTAGACGACAGTTTTAGGACCGGGCCGCATAATTAACAATTCTTTAGGGGCGGGGCTACATGATGTGGGGTCGGTGACATCCGGGCGCCATCCCCGAGTGCGGTTTACTAACGTGGTGATATTTCAGTTTTTCCTGCAGAAGAAGATAGGAAAAAACTAAAAAAATCACCACGTTAGTAAACCACGCTCGGGGATGGCGCCCGAATGTCGCCGACCCCACATCATGTAGCCCCGTCCCTAAAGAATTGTTTATGCGGCCTGGTAGGTACAAGTACACTCATCTTTCTACAACTGCAGAAGAAGACTAAAAAATCACCACGCGGTTACCTTTTGAAAAAGTTACTTTGCGACTTTCATGATGCAATATAACAGGTTAATAGAAACTGGTCTACCCCACAAAAATGCGCTGAAGTCCATTCGAGCTCACACGATTTTTTTCTCATAAGGTCATATTTAAATTCTGTTTACGTAGTTTAAAAATTGGGAAAACGGATATCAATAGTACGAACAGATGCGTAACATTAATTTCTACAAAAAAAACTAAATAGACTTTGTTCGAAGCGAATAATCGGACATGAAGATTATTTGAATTATATCGGAAGTAGGTATGCGAGAAGTTTAAAATTCGTAAGGCCGCGGCTTTGAGTGGTTCATAAACGCGCCAATTCAGCTACTCAATTTAGTGATCTGTCCTACATAACAGGGGGCGCTGAATGAAAATTTTCCCTAAAGTCACTAAATATAGAAAGTACCACAATCCATTGGGCTCGTGTGTTAGAGAGAGAACGCATGATTTTTGCCCAAAAATGGCGGAAGTTACCAGATTCTAGTAACTTTAATGTTAGGGGATTGTTCCACCTGTTTGCGAGATATCTGTGTATATTTTTATAAAACATGACAGTACTATGAAGTTAGGTTATAAAAAATGACAGCTATTCAGATTTTATTTGCCAATTTTTTTAAGTTGGCAGCAAATCTGCCCAAAAATGGCGGATGATTGCGGTACTTTCTATATCTAGTGACTTTAACTTTCCCACGCTTACATCGCCATCTACTTATATGAGGTGTGTGAAAGGTGGCCACAAATTAATAAGCGTCTGGAACTCTTATTGTATTTATGCCTAAACCAAAATGTACTTACCAACCCCTGAAACGTGAACGCGCACACCGCGCCCAAGATTCTTTAAAACCTTGAACAACTTACCGTGACGTAGCCATGCTTCTCAATTTCGATTTGCTTATTAATTCTCTCCCGCAAATCTTCGCCTGTAAAGAGGCCGTCGGTTCTGGCCGCGCATTCGGACGGCGGCCTCAACTGATCGGGATGATTGAGCGCGTTGACTAACTCGTTCGAATACTGTAAGTGCGGTAGAGACGGTTTGAGTTCGTAGTTGGGCGAATGACTGCGGATCGCCTTTAGGACCACATCGCGCTGATCGCTCACGAACATCGTCTCGTTCATGATCCTGTCGAACGATATTCCCGATCGGTACGCTTCGGACGCGTGCGATCGTATCCGTTTCAGGTGGCCGTCGTCCGCGTTCATCCGCCCCAGGCACTCGAAGATCGCCGCGTAACTTTGCACGTTTAAGTCGATCCTCTCCTCGGCGACGTAGCTTAGAATTTCTTCGATTTTTTCGTAGTTGCCCTTCGCGGCGAAACCTCGCATTAAGCCGTTGTAGACGTTGATATTTTTAATGGAGGGAAATACTTTTTTCGCGTTGTGCTTGTGGTTGCGGTGGAAAATGAGCGCGTTCAGCGCGCGTTGCGGCGATTTCAGGTAGTTGCATACTTCGATATATGCAGTGAGCGTTCTCGAAATCACCTCTTCGGTAGCGGTTGGGGGTACGACGAGATGCGCATCTTGAGTGTGTGTGTGATCTTCAACTTCTTCCAATACCTCTGGCTGTAAAGGGTTGCTTGGAATTCTATAATAAATAATTTATTGTAGTTTAACTAAATATAGTGTTATTAAAGAGAAAATTCTTTAAAATATACTTCAGGGTTACAAAAATTCAGTACTGTACGAAAGAACAATTGAAATGGTTTTTCTTTTACGCATATAACCAGTTAGTTAACCGTTTGCCCGTTAGACGTAGACAGAAAATGGCTGCCACGAGAACCCCGGAATCATTTGTGTTAGAATTTCATGTGTCAAAGATCATTTCATAATTATGACAATGTAAATGTTCAAAAAGTTTCATTTTCCAAAAAAGGGCCAAATCCCTACAAGGTAGTTTTTTACGTAGCAGTGTGTTTCTTTTGTTTCAAAGCCAACTTTGATGAATATTGCAATTTAAATTTGTGAATTTGCGTATTTTCGCCGTCTCTGCTTAGGAAACAGATATCAAAATGTGGTTTTCTCTGATATTTTCACTTTATAATTAATATCGAACCGCGCCTTCTACCACTTATAACGTTCATTAAAAATACTACAATGTAAAATCGTATCACACAAAGACAGCTCTTTCCAATAAGATCAATTATGTAAAAATCCGTTAACCTAAACTGAATACATTCAATTCCTTAAATAGATCTTCTCCTTCCCCCACCACTCATATTTTATGATGCAAAATTCATACAAGATTGCGAAGCATATTTGTTGAGTATATTTTAGGAAAAAATCATTTTTCTACTTAACCTAAAGTCACTAAATATAGAAAGTACCGCAATCCATTGGGCTCGTGTGTTAGAAAGAGAACGCATGATTTTTGCCCAAAAATGGCAGAAGTTACCAGATTCTAGTAACTCTAATGTTAGGGATTGTTCCACCTGTTTGGAGATATCTGTATATATTTTTATAAAACATGACAGTACTATGAAGTTAGGTTATAAAAAATGACAGCTAGTCAGATTTTAATTGTCAATTTTTTTAAGTTGGCAGCAAATTTGCCCAAAAATGGCGGATGATTGCGGTACTTTCTATATCTAGTGACTTTAACTTTACCTAAAGTCACTAGATATAGATATCCGCCATTTTTGGGCAAATTTGCTGCCAATTTAAAAAAATTGACAAATAAAATCTGAATAGCTGTCATTTTTCATAACCTAACTTCATAGTACTGTCATGTTTTATAAAAATATATACAGATATCTCCAAACAGGTGGAACAATCCCTAAGGTTAAAGTTACTAGAATCTGGTAACTTCCGCCATTTTTGGGCAAAAATCGTGTGTTCTCTCTCTAACACACGAGCCCAATGGATTGCGGTACTTTCTATATTTAGTGACTTTAACTTTACCATTAATCGTACGCCCTCTAACGGCAAACCTAGAAACTTAAAGGTAGTGGTAGTACAACTCTAATTCCTATTGATAAACCGGGATACTTTTCAAAAATTAAGTAATGAACTGTAAACCGGGATACTAGCCCCCCCCCCCTCCTAGTCGAATGAAGGTCAGTAAATTCTATGGTAAATAGTAATAATTACAGAAAAATGTGGAAACTTAAATGTGAAGCATGGAAATGGTGATCAAAGCATAAGTATTAATAAATGACGTGACGGTGTAAATCTGTTATCGGTTAAGAAGATTGAACAAGAGAGCTGTAATGTAATATTTTATTATGTTACATATCTGGCAGTTTTGAATTGAACAGTTCATGCACTTACAAAAGTGCAAAAGATGCATCTGCTACGCCACTGGTCACTGGGTATGTCTTGGCGCGAATATTGATATTTCAATTGCACAAGGACGTATTTACCTGGGAGTGAAATTTTCCACATTGTAGCGTCTATAATTTTAACACTAACAAAAAGGTGACCAAAGTTCAATTATGATTCTTGTTATCCGCTTGTGCGATGGGCCAGGGGCTTTTGTGTGTTATATATGGAGGCGTAATACACTTGAAATTGCTTACATAGTATTTTGCCAAAATATTATTGGCCATAAATGCCAAATTTGATAATTTTTCACGACCCTGAATATTTATATGGGATGGATCTCGAAACTCCACTATACAGGGTGTCTTAAATTGAGTAGAATAACATGGCTACTTTGTTATACTTACAGATTCGGTTAAATTGGCAAAGTTGTGTAGTTTTTGATGCTGATGGATATTCCGATGCGATATTTTCAAATAAGTAAATCGTTTCGTAGATAATTGGAAAAAAGTGAAAATCGCCATTTTTAAAAAGTTCAAATATTTTATAAACAAAAGTTGCAAGATTCGATGGGATAAATTCAATGGACGTACAAAATTTTGTTTTCAAAATGGCGGTTTTCGAAATATTGACATCAACTTCCTTATTTTAAATGGACGCCATATTGGATTTTTACGTCACTCTATAGACAAAAAAATTACAAAACCAGTGATACTAAACACTCGGTATTTCATTTCATTTGGGAATCAATGCATTTTTGCCTAAAGTTTACAATGTATTTCTTATGGCAATAGTTCCATGGCTGATTGTGATTTAAATCAAATTCTTTCGTTTATTGTCTCCCATAGTCACCATCGACACGGCTATGGAATTATTGCCATAAGAAATACATTGCAAACTACTACTCTGCCACGAAATACGAGACGAAATATGTCTGTCCACTCTTTCATGTTTTCAGTTTTGGTATTTAAGTTAGATGTATAATAAACAGAGACAAACACATTTCTTTTAAAATACCATGTTGTTAGTAATCCGAATCGCGCAACAATTTTGAAATACCCTGTACAAACCATAGTTGTACATTTTCTTTAATACTCCGCATAAATCAAGTTGCCTATCTTCTATCTCAGCACAGGCCCGTAGCCAGAATGAAGCAGCAGAGGTGACCGGTATTTTTTAGGGGGAGGGGGGAGGCTTACGAAGTTTTTGATAAAGACTTCCCCCTGTAATTTTTGTAAAAGAATCATCAACCGTAATTTCCAGTGGGGGCAGGACCATGTTCTAGGTGGGGATCAGCCCCACCTGGTCACCCCCTGGCTACGGGCCTGTCTCAGCAGAGACAAATTTCAATGTCTAAACATTCTTCTAATACAAATTACAAACATTTGAAGTTTTTATTTTACACCTATATTTTTACAAAGGTGGAGTTTCAGCCGCCACCAAAACCTCACAAATCTTCCATACCTGAACTGGAATTACGTAAATACACAATATCAATCATCATCTAAGCGAAATGCCAATGTATGGGAGATTTGTGAGACAGTACCACAATTACCTTTCTAAACTTTCAAAAGGTTCACATTCCGAATCGGACTGCTTCACTTCCTCTACAAGTGGAACACTGGCTGCGGTAGCTTTCAAATCGAGCTCAATCTGCGCTTTCACATCGTCGATTGGTGCGTGATCAATAATCGTCAAATTATGGTAGGTGTGCTGGTTGACGTTCTCCGCCTTTCGTAACGCTTTCAACTTATACAATTCGGCCAAGTTCAAATTTGTTCTCGTGAAAAATTTCAGATCTCGCAAACTGAGCACCTTAACGGGCGCTTTCTGTTGCGAGGTGCTGCCCTTCGTCACTAAAAACGATCAATTAAAATAAACACTTACAACTCGGTGCTAATCAAACCGACCCACTAGGATTTCGGCGTACGATGGAATTTTCTTCGCGGCTCGTTTTCGAACTCTCGCCTCCGCTGCCGTGTCGCGTTTCGTCGAATAATTCAAGCCTAAAAGGGCGGAAGTTAGCACTAACTTTGGCGAATTTAGAGCGGCCTACCTTTGTGTATATTATGCAACTTGTGACAAACACCGCAAATCGGTCGATTAAAGCCATGTTCCTTAAAGCTAGCCACTGGAAGGTTTACAAAACTGGTTTTTTTAACACTAAAGAAACGGTGCATCTTAAATAATTATCTTAAAATCATGTCTAGTAAATGCTAAGGCGAGCGTTTGAAAATGGGTTCGTTAACCTCACTTTTCGTTTAAATGTGACTCGATTTTTGCTTGCGTGATAATAGATGGCGCGGTATGTCAGCATGTACCATAGAATATATAAATACATAGATACAGCCATACCCCAAACATAGTTCAAAAGGACGTAACGCAACTATTACCATCAACTTTCGGCACATTAATTACGTATCAGCGCTATCTTTATATGAGGGTTAACCCCTGAGCATGGAAGACTACAAGATTCGCATTATATTATAACTGTCAATCAAATTGTTAGCACAACATGCACAACAGAAAATTATCAAGATTTGAAACTTTACAACATAAATAAACCGCCTTTTTATTTATTTAAATCGCATAGCAGCAAGAAATGTTACATTTAAAATGGAAGATGTTACTTATAAAGCTGGCAAATGAAGAATTTGAAAAAATTACACCTGACAACTGGAAGAAAGTGTGTGAACATGTGGAAAGTGATTAATTTAAAAGAGAAGTTATATTTGGTTGATGTTGCTGAACTTTATAATACCTAAGTGTTAATAATGACAGTGATGATTCAAATTTGTCAATTTCATCTGACGATGATTCGGATTGTGAGCTTTTACAAACGTAATGAATGTTCACTAAATGAGTATTATCACCAATTGGATATCATTGTTAAGGTGTTGTATTTATTTTAAATAAATGTACACGTGTAGCTTACTTACTACAATTAGCACTATATTTTCAAAAAGAAACCCCACCGAATGGACATATGCCGAAAGGTAGGCAAGACGCGTAGCGACCAAAATTTGATATTGCACGCACACACAGTCTAAAAACTCGTTTTCCTAAGAATATTGGACGGATCCTTCTTTGTGATCATGATACAAACGCACTGCATCAACATCATATAGGCCAAAATAATAATTGGAAACGAATTCACTTCCTGTCGCAACAATTTCCTTTACCATTACGCCTAAAACCATGCAATTAAAATTAAAATGTTGAACATACACTTTACTTACTTACGGTTTTTTTGATATTCTGCAAGCCAGCAATGAATTCAATCATTGAATAAAAACACTATATCATTGAATAAACAATGATTCAATGCAGCACATCATGCCAAACAGGGTAAACATTATCCCAAATTTGAATGGCGTAGTTCGATGTAATAAAACTATTTCAGGAATAACAATTATGGAC